TACGGCGGCTTGCGGGAACTTTGACGAAATCGACGCCGCGATCAAGTTCATCAGCGCATCAGAAAAAAAGATTGAACAGTTCGAAAGCGAAAGAACGAAGAGTGTTTGTGGCTCTGTGAGCGGAGTATTTTGTGACATCGGCGCACTGACATCGATGGTAAGCCGTGCTGTTTGTCCAACATGCCACACCGCTGGACTCATCGTTCGCGACACCGCAAGTAAACGTAAGGGCCTCTCTTCGTTCCTCGAGCTGCACTGTGATAACAGTGAGTGTCCTGAGTCAGTGGTTTCTGCCGCGCATAGTTCGCGGCGTGTTCTGCCGGAAAGACAGCCCACCGATGCCGGTGATGACTGGAGCTACCGAAGCGGCAGCTCGCGCGACAGCTTCGCTGTCAATGTGAAGGTAGTTGTGGCTGCGCGTGCAATAGGCATTGGGCATGAACAGCTGTCGCGTTTTTGCGCTATTCTTGGACTGCCAATACCTATGCATCATAAGACTTTTATTGCAATCGGCAAAAAAGTTCATGCTGCAGCTACCAAAGCTGTGCAAGAAAACCTGGCGAAAGCGCGGATGATAACTAAAGAGAAAGTGGATGGGGCTGATGTTGCTGTCATGTATGATGGCACATGGCAAAAAAGAGGGCACAAGAGCCACAATGGCATCGGCACTGCTGTGTCTGTGGACACTGGTTTGTGCCTAGATTTTGAAGTGCTATCGAATTACTGCCTTGCCTGTAGCCAGCACCAGGACTTGGGTGATGAGGAAGAAATATGGCAAGCATTCCACACACCTGTCTGCGAAAAAAATACAGAGTGCTCCTCTCATGCCATGGAGACTGAGGCAGCTTTGCGCATATGGGGCAGGACATCCTCATACACAACACCATTGCGCTTCACCAAGTTCCTCAGTGATGGGGACAGCAAAGCTTATACCGCTGTCGCTGAGGCCAAGGTATATGGTGAAGCTGTTGTGGACAAGGAGGAGTGCACAAACCATGTGGCCAAGCGTCTAGGCACTGCACTTCGGAAACTGCCAACAAGACTTCCACGAGGGGAAAAGCTGACAGATGGCACAATTCAGAAGCTGCAGAACTATTACCGTATTGCAATCACAAACAACAGAGGTGATATTCTGAAAATGCATCGTGCCATCTGGGCCTCATATTTCCATTCATCATCGAGCAACACAGCAGGCAGCCACCGATACTGTCCAGAAGGGGCGACTTCCTGGTGCAAGCATAGGCGAGCTGAAGCGCTTGGGGAGGCCCCACCCGACCACACACCAATCTTGACCAAGGCTCAAGGATTGGCTGTGCTTCCCATTTACAAGCGGCTCACAGATGAAAAGTTGCTGGTGCGTTGTATCCAAGGGAAGACCCAAAACGCTGCAGAATCTTTGAACAGCAAAATCTGGTTGTTGTGTCCGAAGACTAAGTTTGCCTCCCGGACAACAGTGGAAACTGCAGCTGCTATGGCCGTGTTGTGGTTCAATAAAGGACATTCAAGCTTTGAACACGTGCTAGAGGAGCTTGGTGTAGTCCCACCAGATCAACTGATCACCCTGGGCCGATCCCGCGACCAGAGGAGAATCGAAAGAATGTCTGCGTGTGAAACAGCCGAGGCAAGGGCCCATCGGCGGAACGTGGCAAAGAAAGCGCGCCTTGATGACTCCCTTCTCAAGCGGCGAGAAGGATCCACATATGGAGCAGGACAATTTTAGGTGCTCTAGCTGTGTCCCTTCTATGATATCACCAAGTTTTGTGCAAATCGCACTGTGTAATCATGAGTAAACATATTTACAACTTTCAAATGCATTTTTCTCGATTTCCATTTTGAGGTAATTCTCTCATCTTGTGCACAATCTTTTTTAGGCATAAAATAGTCCTATCTTGATGAAATTTTGCACAGAGCTTAATCAGCCACTCTAGAATACAAGTATCTACTTTAGGTTGCATTATACATCACAGATTTTTTGTTACACAACTTGATACACTGATAGAGAGATGTAAAATATGCATTTAGTACTTTTAATTTTTTTTTTAATGTAGCAAATAAATTTTCTGTTTGAGGTACTTTTCTGTATTGTACTGCTCAAGTGCAGCAAAATGAGCCATTTTGCAATTCTGTGTGAAAATTTTTAGTAAGCTTTATTATGTGCACAAAAAACACTATATTTTGATATCAAAGTTGTAGTAACTCCGGAACTACTATAGCTATCAAACAAATAATTGCAGTTATGAAATCAGCACTGCAAGCTTTACTAACACCTAAAATTTCAAGGAGCTGGGTTATGAAATAAAAAAAAACCTTTTTCGAGTAGCATCTCCCCTTAAGCGAGTAAATGTAGTGTTACTTTTTGAAAACATCTCTCATGTCATTTGATCAAATGTTAAGTCTACTGCACTCCCATTTGTCCCCTTTTCTAACAAAACAAGAATCCCTGCGACAGGACAAGTACCACCAGAGATATAGTCACTCAAAAACTACACCATGATCAAAAACGCAGTTTTGAGAAAATGAGAAAAAACATTACAGGACAAGTTAGAAATTATTATGGAAATCTCTTGAGCACTACAGTGATCGAGGATGGTAAACGGGTTCAATCAGGCAAGAATAAATATTTTACAACAATCTCGAATAAATTAGGGCACCTGAAATTTTATTTGTAAAACCCAATATTAACTTTAAAAATTATTTTTATCAATGTTCTTTAATAATATGTAACTACGTACTAGTCTTACTGCATTCGTCAATTCACCACCTTTCTTACACAAAAAAGAATTCTTGAAACTGTTTGAGTAGAACTAGAAATATTGTTGCTCTAATATGACACGATCAGAAATGCCATTTTCGGGAACCAGGTAAAAAAAATTGCCGTTTTATTGTACAGGCCCCGCCACGACAGCCCCATAGGCGCGAAAATATCATTCATGAATGTCTGGCTGTTCACACTACAGAGCATTGCATAAATTTTCAACATTTACTCTGCGCAAGTTCTCCAGAACAGTCGCACTTCACTATCAGTTTTTTTAGTGAGGGCATAGTCCTAGTCACCCGCGACTAGTTTCGCACTCCCACCACATACTTTGCACCACGCTTTGCACTGTAGGGAATCAGCGAGCAGCCCATTTAGGATCTCCAAGTGGACCATCAAATACGAAGCTGCAGTGTCCGCAGCGAAGGCCGATTTGACGCGTCGCTTGCATCGTGCAAACTGCTCTCTTTCACGCTGTCACCGATGTCGACTCAAGTCGTTCAGGCATGACCTGCTCACGAGCACTCACTTCGGCTATGTCGCTGCTCGTGATAGCTTCAGTGTGACCTCACACAAGGCTAGAGTCGGCGCAAAGAATTATGTAGTTCTCGGGAGGATCGTTTTTAGTTGCAAGTCGCGGGTCACTTGCTTATCACTTGTAAGGGCATACGACGGGCATATGACGGTATGCCCTTATCTTGCAGACCACTATTACCTGCACCGACCGCGAGTCGCTTGTTCATGGTTGCACAGCGGCGCGATAGCGTGCCTTTGTGGAGTGCACCATAATCACCTCCATTGCCGTTATCGGGTGCTGAAAGAACGCCGCTCGCTTGCTGATCGCTTGCAGAAACCCGCGATGCCGTGCTGTTAGCACATTTTTTTCATTTTGGCCCGCCTTTGGCTGATCTGATACACCGAGCAGAACTTCTTGGTCCTCCAAGCACACTAGTCGTAGAATCGTAACCTAAGCCAAAAAAAATGGCACCTCAACTAGCCAGGTTTTCAAATACAGTTCCCCAAGCCACTCAGACAACGCCATTTTATCCAAGTGATCGGAAGTGGCCAATGACAACGTTTTACGCCTTTTTCTTTTTTTATTTGAGAGAGTTGCAAGCTCACAGTTATGCGACCGAGCCAAAGGAAAAGCCAAACACGAAAGCTTTTTATTCACGTTGCCACGTTGAAGCGGGTTGTTCGAGAGTTGCAGGCAGCTGATATGAGAGCGATTTGTCAACAATTTAAAGCGCCGAGGGAGTGCCAACGCATCTTTGATTTACTGTTACGCCGCTAATACACGAAACTTTGAAATGAAAACTTGCACACAGGTGCGCGATGGTAGAAAGAATACGAAAATAACACCTCTGAAAATTCAATTTTTCGGCAAATTTTCGGGTCCCAAGAGCCACGTCTCCCCTTATTCTGAACCAAAAAATGCCGAGTGCCTCCATGACTCGTAAGAAATGACCTAGTTACACTTCACTTATTTTCTCATAATCTGTGGACTAATCAAGATACAATAAAACTAGTTACATTGTCGAAAACAGGAGAAACACATATACACACCTAATTTCATAAAAATATCTAATAATAAAAATTCCATTTTTTAAGACCAGTATCTCCCCTTAAATAAACAAGTACACTTCGTTTCTGCTCTAATTCATTTTCTTTCTTTTTTAATATATATAGTGCATGCCTTAGGATTGCAAATTATTTCGTATGTGTTCACGAAATGCCTGCGTAACTTGTGCACCCCGTTCTCAAAGCCCCAAAATCATGAAAAAAAAAAGTGCACAACTCGTGTGAGTAAATACGGTAGGCCCAACAGCTCCAGCTGATAATACCACAGTACGTTAAACCTTCATTTACTTTAGCGTTATGTGTAACATACAGGCACTACAAAAAAGACTACCAGTGTGACATCATGGGGGAGAGGGAGAATTTTGATTCAAACTAATCCCGTACAATATCTTTTTTTGTTACTACGGCACCGTGAAAACATTCTTCTGGCCCTACCCGTGCGCGCGCATGCACACATACACAGAAAAGAAAACGAAAAAACCTCTACCAATAATAGATTGCATACAGTGACAAATTTCACTTCAATGTCTACTACTAACATGAAAAATGACAAGAAAGCTTCAATATACTGAGGCTTAATTGACTCCAGCATCAACCACATAAGCTAGCACAATTCCTGGAGATATTGTCCTAAAAAAAAAAAGTCAATAGATAGATGCCCTACCTTGTGCTCATCGAGCTTCCTGTGGTCAAAAAAGTGGCCTACAAAGTTGATTTCGCACACCGTGCACCAGCCATCTTTCTGGCCGCCCTTTTTATTCCTGCATCAGAAATTCAGTGAACTCCTGTCACAAGTAACTCTGTTAAAAAAGATCTTTGCAAATACCAAACAACATGTAAATGTTTATTTGGCTTTCAGACTAAACGCAGAAAAAAAATATACAGTATTTACTCGTGTAGTGAGTCCACCCGTTTTTTTTTTTTTGTTTGTTTTTTTTTTTTTCAGAAAAGTTGACACCAATGCGGGGGAGGGGGGGTCGATACGCTAGAGAAAGAAGTCAGGGGAGTTATAACAAAAATTGCACTTGACATTTTTTCATGTTTTGACCCACGAATTGCGCGACGAATCTTTTTTGTAGCCCGAAGCTCTTGTTTTCTCCCATAACGAACACCCACGGATTGGGACGCTGTGAAGTGCTGTACAGTCGCGCAATTCCCATGCTCGACCAACTTTAAAGGGGGACGTGCCTTTCGAAATGAACTTTCTAGTTTTTGGTTGGATATTGATGAAAATTGGCACAGACATTAAAAATGGCCTCACAATGCTTACATAAAAATTTTGAGCCGATAATGCAGAAACTTAATGAGAGGCAAATCATTTTTTCATTGAAACTCGTGGAGGGTCTGGGGATTTATAAAATGATAAAAATAGTTGGCATTTACTGTACACACAGTCAACTTTATGTTGAAGTTTGCTGAAGTTGAACCATATAGCAAGATGTACCTTGAGAACTACTCAAGGTATCATGATGAAACTGCGTATTTCCTATTCAAGACACTTATGCGTATGCATGCCAAATTTTATTGCTCTAGGTCAACAAACAAATTTGCTTTTTCTCCGCCACCTCCCCCCCCCCCCTAAATTGAAGTGTAAAGTAGCCGTACTCCAACCGCCGACAGCACGCGAACTACACGCTCCACCAGCGCCATTTTGATCTTGTTGGAAAGATCGCATTTCTAGCTTTCTTTTTTTTTTTTTTTTTCATTTTCCAGTAGACTATATGCCTCTCGCAAAAGCAAAAAAATCGAAGTCGAAATCACCCGCAGCGCGCGATTCCAATGGTTGCTTGACGCACGTGACCAAAATGGCACTTCCCGATTGGCCAAGAAAACTCGCTGGCAGTGTCTGCCATCATTTTGAAAGTGTATCGCCCTTACGAAGGTGTCGTGACTCGTATCCCTAACATGCTTGTGCTTCTCGCTATGCCCGGTGGTGTTGAAAAGTTTCGATCGCAGCATCATTTTGGCTGTTCATGAAAGGTAGAGGCAGAAAGCGCAATGGTGCTGCTACTGTGCCACGGGAGCAAGCGCCGACATTGTTTGATGACGGCGTCATAACTGAAGACTGTTCCTCGTGCGTGCGCGGCGTGGATGCTGGCCGCATGTGTACTGAAGATGTTATCAACGAAGGAGTGTGTAAGATGGCTTCCCCGGATAGCGGGCGCTCTGTGAATTATGACCGTGCCAATGCTATCGGCAATGGTGAAGTGCGCGTAGACACGGGCCTCCCTGACAGTGCAGACGATGTCGACTCCAGCCCTGTGCGGGTAGACGCTGATGTGATCGGTGCCAGTGAAGTTAGTGACACGCGCCCGCGAGACAACCACAACACTTGAGGGTCTTTTGTCGGTGTCAGCAAAAGCACGAAAAATTCAACACTTTTCGAAGTGGTGCAGCAGCGAGGCAAGATGCGAGGAAGGCAAGACTCAAAATTCACACGAAAACCTTCAATCCGTGATTTGGAGTTTGATATCAAAGGAGCAGCATGCTTCTGTTTTTGCTGTGCAAGCTGCTGTTGCAGAAGCTGTGCTGTGCTTCAACAAGGGCAATGTCAATGCATTTGCTGTAATTCTAGAGCAGCTGGACATCACGATATTCAGCAGCACATCCCTGAGGGCTAGGGAGAACGACTGTGGTCAGAATGTCAATGATCCCATTGGGGACTGCCGATTTGGAGCAATTTTCGGAGCAGTCAAATTTTAGTTTTGGAGCACTTTGGAGCAGTAAAATATTAGTTTTGGAGCACTTTGGAGCATTTTGGAGCAAATAGTTTTGTAATTAGGCCCACCTAGGAGCAGTAAAATTTAGTTTCGCATCACTGAGACTCTACTGTAAAGTTTAGATGAATGCCTCTCAAATTCGTTTATAATGCGGTGGGCTCACAAAGAGCCTGGAATGGACTGGCCTGCATTTTTGTCGACGCGGCCAGATCTCGCACACACATTTAGATTTTCGAGAGAGTCTCTGGCGACCCTACACAAGGAAGAAACGGTCGCAATCCAGGAGTATCCCGGACAATGCGAGAGACTTCGCAAGTATGTGATGATGATAACACTAATACATGGAGTTTTCTCCTGGTGACGGAATATAGCCCAACACTGTTTTTGTGGACTCCGCGACCAGCTTAGAGATGGTCAATTAAAATTTTTAATCGATTAAATCCTTAACCCTTAATCGATTTAAGTAGAATGTTGCTTGCTTTCAGTAGAATGTTTTAATCGATTAATCGACATTTTTTGTGGGTGCTTTAAAACCGATATCTCTTTGTTTGAGAGGCATCGTTTGCTTTTTACATGGACCCAAATCTTTTTATCAGGCGCGCGGACGATCGAAAATTCTGACTTTCGAAGGTGTCGACGATGGGTCCCTTGTGTCCAGTGTGCGAAAATTCCCACTTTCGCACATTGGACACAAGGGGCCCGTCCTCGTTAGTTGATGTCACGGATTCCAGCACCTGTTGCCGTCATCCTTGGGCTATTCGGCAGCAGATTGTATTTACTCGAAGCCTGCCTACTCGAGCTCATCGAAACCGGAGGCGCGTTCGGCGACGACACTGGTTGGAAAGTCGCAGCTGAAACATGCAGTGTGGAGGAGGGTGAGGAAATCCTGAGAAAGGTAAAAGAGAGATGAGGAGGAAGAGGAATTAAATAAGACGCTCGTTCTCGTAAACACGGTATCTTTTTCCGGTTTGTCGGTTAGATATAGTGGAAGCCCTACATAATACTATAATTGCAGACTGACATTATCTTTTCTTTGAGGTCACCTTTACAGAGATTACACTGAAACATGCTGGCCTCAAACAGACCATCGGCACAGGCAACTGCGGGAAATAGAGTGACTCGAGTTTCCGCCTCCCGGCTAGAGTAAATAGCAACTGCGCCAGTATACTCCGCAGGTTTCGTCTGATCGTTGTCTTAACACGGGGCCACTCGCACCTTTTCAATCGTGCATACAGCCTGAACTGTGAGCGCTATCTAGTGTATGAGACATTACAACATAAATTTCACGACTGTCCTGTTTTCTTCTCACAGCAGAAGACGGGGGGCCTCTAGCTGAAAGCTGAATATCTCTCTAAATATGTGACCATACAGTATTACTTAATGCTACAAGGTCACTTCTTCAATAGAAATGCACTGAATGCTAGACGTTCGGTAAACCGACATGTAAAGTTGTGGATTAAATATATACAAAGGGTCTTTAAGACCCTTTTCACAATTCGCGAGTGCGTATTCCTGCGCTACATTTTCTCTCAACTAATGACAGCAACTTTCATGCTTCAGGTGGAGACGAGCTCGTAGTTGCACGTGCTGTCTATTATGCGTGTTCATGTCAAGAAAGCCGAGCCTAGATTTTCTACGTCCCAGCGCAAGCAAACCGCGCCTGAACACTGTTTGAAGAAGTGACAAGCTGCCATTAATTAGGCTAACTACATCGCAGGAAAGCTAGCTGAACAATTGTGAAAATGGTATATAACCACTAAGACGGACAATTGGGCTGGTTGGTATACAGCATAATAAAAAATGGTTACTAGCAACCTTGTCCTCTTTACGGTAGCACACGTGTCTTATTATGTATATACGGATTACCTAATCCTCTCCCCATCATCACATTTTATCACTCTTTTTCTTCCATTGCAATTTTTCCCTATTCAAGACACTTATGAGTATGCATGCCCAATTTCATTGCTCTAGGTCAACAAACAAAAAAGTTTTTTTTTTTTTTAACGCTACCTTGCCCCTTAAATGGCAGTTTCGTGACTGGAAAAAGTATTGAGGGTCTATAGCACCATGGAAAGAGCCTAAATTTTGAACTGAATGTCACCTGCCCTTCTCTACGTGAATGCCACACTCCAAAATGGAACTGACATACAATACCCCTATGATTCTACAGGATCCTAAAAAGGCTATGCTAAGACTGACAAAAAATAAATTCATAGCCCCAAAAAGGTAAAACCAGGGAATGTAATGCATCCGATAAAACCGGGTTTCCCTGCATTGTGTGGTGAACCCTAATAGTCCTAACTATGGTTCATTAGACCAATTTTTTTTTTTTATCAGCATAATCTACACCCCAGAAAAAAACGACCTTGCATGGTTCTTTTGCGGCAGTCTTTAGTCGCGTTGTCCAGAACCATCGAATTTTAGTGCTGATTTGAACATTTCTGACATTACTCCTTCAAATTACAGTTTCTGGCAGTCTAAATTTTATTATATGAAACTTGCACAGTACTTAGCCGTGGGCACAATTGATGTGGCAAGAAAAATTAAGCCACTGATTACCCTTGCTCTTGTCGGGCCTTTTGAGCAACCCGGCCTCCAGTTTGCCCCTTGGCGACAGCTCCTTTGGTGGTACTTTTGGTGCCTGAAGCCTTCGACCCTGATGGCTTGGCAATCAGCTTGGCAGCTGCACCAGTCGATGTAGAAGCGCCTTCTCCGCTTCCCTGAAAAATAAGCAACACTGTTTACACCTCTTACTCAGTAAAGGTCACGTTTCAATGCTCCAGGCACCTAAAAAAAAATTAAGTTGAGCATAAAGAGGTTGTGAAAAAAAAAAAAAGCTGCCCGATTGTAATTTTCCCTACTTCATTAAGGGGGGAGGCTACACTTTGTGGGCAACTTTTTATATATGCATATATATAAACAAAATTTTCACAATATGTATATTCGAATCTGCAAATTCTATATATGTATATATATAAACAAAATTTTCACAATATGTATATTCAAATCTGCAGATTCTAAAAATGTAATTACTTTTTTGATAGGTCAAGCAGTTTCCAAGATACTCCACAATCAATGTATAACTTGAGTTCTTTGTTTGAAACCTATTTAGCATCTAAGCAGAAAGCACCAAAACACTGTAGAAACAATGTAGGATGTTCAAGGAGAGCCATGTGCTATAAATCCTTTCGCTAGGCCAATTTCAACAAGAGTTTGAGGACATCAATGTTCATAAAAAAAAGCCTTTACCTGTCACACATGTGACCCAATTTAAAAAATTTTCATCTGTATATTTCCTTCAAAATAGGCATACTGCAAGCATTTATTTTTCTGGCAAAAAAAATTATGCTGATCGCTCGAATGGAACAAAAGGTATTTTCCCTCCAACTTGGCAAATGTGCCAAGTTTGCTGTTTAAGAAAACGAGAAAAAACATTTCAAAACACTTTCATTGAAAAGGTATTAATAAGATCTTATGAAAATGCACCAGGAGCACAATCTGAATGCACTCCATCCTTATGGTGTTTCCTGACCAGCTTTCTCAAGACTCACGGACGCTTCTTTCTATTTATTGGACGTTGCACTCCGACGACAAAAGCATTGAGATTGCCTGTGTTGAAGTGCAGCACAGCTTCTGCAACAGCAGCTTGCACAGCGAGAAGCATGCTGATCCTTTCATACAAAAGACCTTCAAACGTTGTTTGATTCACGGGCGCACGCGTCGCAAACTTTACTGGCAACGATCACATCAGCGACTACTTGCACATGGCCAGAGTCAACATCGCGCGCACTGCCAGGGAGGCGCGTGTCTATTCATACTTCATCATTGCCGATAGCATCAGTGCGGTCATAATTCACAGAGCGTCCATTATACGAGGAAGCAGTCTCGCACACTCCTCCGTTGATAACATCTTCAGTACACATGCGGCCAGCGTCCAGCCATACACGCTTGAGGAACAGTCTTCTGTTACAACAGCGTTTTCAAACAACGTTGGCGCTTGCTCCATACCTGCCAAGTTCAAGGATTTTGAATCCTGGAGATTGACGTGCTGGATTATTTTCTCCCTTTTTTGGCACCAAAAGAAAACAAAAATGTATCACGCAAAAAGGGAAAGGGGGGGGGGGGGGGGGAATCTTGAAAGCAAGTGCCAACATCGACGTTGCGGTCTTATAATGGCTTGGAGTGGCCGAACACACGAGGTAGGTTTCTCACTAAGGTGCGAGTCTCAAAAGGAAGCACAAGTACTCCCAAAACTTCACGTCATCAAAACAATTAAGAAAATTTTATTTCCATCAAAACAACTCGCGTTTGTCTTCCTAGGACACACGTGAATGGACGGGACGGCACAGCTCGCTGTCGCGAAAACAAATGTCAGAGCTTTGGCTTTGCTCGCTACTAAATTTTTTGTACCAGAGCACCAAAACGCTTTTAGCCTTTTTTATGTCTTTACTGCCTTTGATCTACCACTGCATTAGCCTCACGCCCTCGGAGCTCGTAGATCACTCTTGCGCCGCCGCGACCGCGGTTTTGTGTGAGGCGGATGCCGCAAATTGTAGTTCCATTTTCAATCCGTGTGCGTTGGCTGCGCACGTACCTTTATGCTATCTATGATCGCATCTGCTGTGGTCTTGTCCATAGAGTTTGCGGAAAGAAGCATTGTTTTGACTGGTCGAGCGTTGGACGTGCGCGCACTATCAGAGTACTGTCAGTAACGTCGTCACCATACATGATCGTGTCAAGAACGACCGTGGTTTCGTCCAAAGTGGTTGCGGCAACAACCACATACACTGTAGAAGACAATGCGTGCACTGGTCGCACGCGTACTTCTGAAGCTTCAAACACGCTGCTCTCGGTCGGCCTTTGTTCGGCGGCTTCAGTACTGAAGTTCACATCACACACCGAGTTTTCGAAAAGTGCTCGGAACATACGAATTTTGGCCCAGCGGACACAGTAGAATTTGGCCGGGGAATTGCTCGAATTCATATCTGCTGCAGTTTCGGATCACCGAGACTACTGTACGCTTAGATGAGCACCTAAATTCGTTTATAATAAAATGCGGTGGGTACTCAACGAGCCTGGAGTGGATTGACCTGCATTTTTGTCAATGCGGCCAGATCACGCAGAAAATTTTCGATTTCCGGGAGATTTTAAAGACAACCGTTTAAACGGAAGAAACAGTCATAATCCGGAAGTCTCCCGGACAATTCGGGAGACTTGGCAGGTATGCTGCTCCCGACACACAGTAGCAGCACCATTGGGCTTTGTGCCTCTGCCTCTCTTCTGTGAACGGCCAAAATGATGCTGCGACTGGAACTTTTTCGCACCACCGGGCATAGCGAGATGCACAAGCACGTTATAGATACGACACCTTAGCAAAGGCGAAACGCTTTCAAAATGGCGGCGGAAACTGTCAGCGAGTTTTCGTGGCCGATAGGGAAGCGCCATTATGGTCATGTCTGTCTAGCAACCAACGGAATCACGTGCTGCGCATGATTTTGTCTTGGCTTTTTTTGCTTTTCCAAGGAGCACACAGTTGTCTACTGGAAAAGAAAGAAAAAGCTAGAAACGCAACTTTTCAAACAAGACTACAATGGCGCTGGTGGAGCATGTAGTTCGCGTCCCGTCCGTGGTTGAAGTACGGCTAGTTTAGACTTCAATTTAAAGGTTCGCTTGCACAAAGTTGCTCTCATTATGGGTTATAACTTGAGAAATAGGAGAAGTTTTAAAGCTAAATTTGCTGATAGGTGCGGAAGATCATCGAGAAAGCGAAAATGATGAGAGATAAAATGTGATTTCGGCGGTCGATTTACGACTTCTCAGTGCGGCATCCCCCCTTAACATGTATGTCTCGGAGGCTACCCTATCCCTAGCTTTAAGCATCAAAGTAGCTGACAGCAGCGGCTGCCAGCTACAACTACAAAGCGCCTTGTGTGGACTTGTTTACTTCTCGCCTCACTCCTGATAAATCCTCATTAGGTAGTTGAATAGAGCGTTGACTAGCTCGTAGCGATAAAAATTATCACTGGTGCTTGGAGTGACATCCAAGTAAAGCATCGTCTAACTTTCCTTACGGGCCAGGCGAGACATCAGGTGCGTCATCATGACCGATGACAATGGTGTACGGTGCCTAAGTGAATTCTGCAACTTATCAGCGTTTCCGGGCACGATCTCAGACAGTGAGCAACTTTATTGGTGCAGATGATGACACAGCTGTTTTTGACTTCATCGATGCTGAGATCATGACTGTCGTTGCCGCGCAAATGTACAATCGTGGTTATCAATATGCCAACGCCTTCACTGCCACTGCCAACTAACCTTTTGCCTTGCTACAAAGCTTGGATTGGCGTTGCGCAGATGACGACACAGCCGTTTTTGATTTCATCGATGCTGAGATCATGACTGTTGTTGCCGAGCAAATGTACAATCGTGGTTATGAATATGCCAACGCCTTCACTGCCACCGCTAACCAACCTTTTGCTTTGCTGCAAAGCTTGGATTGGGGTTGTACGTCAATCATCACTCTTATGACCAAGGGAGCTAAATTCGCTTACTTGAAAAGCTTCAATGATACTGAGGATGACTGAAACTTGAGGGCGCGCGCAAAGAAGCAAGACAAGTTTACGGACTTTTTTCATGCGAAATGAAGTGTGATAACTTGCAGTTCACACCTTGTTTTTTATTATACTGTGAGTGAATCGTCACGTTAGCACTTGTAACAATTTCCGAGGACTGAATGGCTTTAATTTAGGCCTTAAATATGCATATTTTATATTTCAATATATCGAATCAATATATCGAATTATTTTGCAATCCCCTTCGAGTTTGAGATATCTGGGATCGACTGCACGTCAAGTGAATGCGGTACTTCTGTGCTTTAGTTCACTCAAGAGCTTCAACATCTTGCAGCACACATTTGTAAGTCCCGAGCCTTTCAAACAACGTTTCTTACCACTTCATTCTGCTGACCAGAAGTTCCACCTTCCTGATCAGCTGATTCAGTAGCATCTCCTTCCCCAGTGCCACGCTGCTCTTGTCCTTCAGCTGTTTCAGCCTGTATCAGAAGTAGTGCACCCATAAGACAGAATGCCAAGTTACTAAGAGACCACAAGATACGGACTTAAACATTCAGATGTGCTACCAACACAACCCTGAAATTTTGCAGGCATTCAATATTCTTCTAGCACCGAACTGAATGATGCCCTACTAAACTGATCTTTGATCCAAATAGCGACTATTCATAAATATAAATATTCAAAAAGTTCAAATGTCAACTACACCAAAAATCAACACAATATTTGTGTAAGAGTACAATAACCTTTACCCCAGCAGGCGTAGTAAGCAACAAACATGAGAGCTGTAGCAGTGCAGAGGTGCGGGTTGCTCAGGGTGTCAGACTTCACGAGCACAGTATGACCTCGGCGCTACAAAATTTGCACAATCCAAAATTCATTATTACCTTTTTTTCAGCATGCTTCAATAATTTCATGCCTATTTATGTAGCCTGTGACACAGTGTTCTTTAACATGACTTAAACTTCGACCTGACTCCCTCTTTGTAGTTTGATTTGATTGAATGATTGATATGTGGGATTCAACATCCCAAAACAACAATATGATTATGAGAGACGCCGTAAAGGAGTGCTCTAAAAATTTTAACCACCCGTGCTTTTAGGGGGGACGCACTCTTTGAAAACCGAAAAATCACGAAGAAGTCAATTTTTCGAAAATCACACATTCGGGTTGTATTCGGGTAGAACTACCCGTTCTGTAAATGCCGACGTTTAATTAATCGCGAAAGTACGTCAAAAAACTATATAACATGCCGCAGCAGCCAGAGAGCGCTGAAAACACCCCAACTTCGCGCGTTTGCAATTTCCCAACCACGCAGCCCAGCGCCGCCATCTTGGTCTTGTATTGCTCGTGAATTCTTGCTTTTTTTTTTCCGCCACCCGCGGCAGTAGGAGCGGGGTGGCCGAGGCGGGAATCGCTAATCATTGGGGAGCTCTCGAAGTTTTAAAGTCTCCCGCGGCTCAGATGCGAAACCGTGATTGGAGGAAGCGCACACCTCTCGAGCAAATGGGCGATCCCGCAGGTCTTATTGGCTACTGCGCGCGACGACGCATCTGTTCCCCCCAGCTCACCGTTTGCTCCGGCTCCGGCCTTGCAAGCGCCGGTGTTGTCTGGGCGTGCTTTGTGTGTCCAGTTTGCCATCATTCCGCTCAGTTCTCACAAGTGCTCTTCAATCTTTTGCCGTGTTCACGGGACACTGTTGTTCTGTCGCCAATAATGGGCAGGACAAAGTTTGAGACTCTGCACACGTTCTGTTTAAGGGGGGAGGCTACCCTGGAGACCGAACTTTTTTATTTTTTAAGATATCTGGATAAAACTTTCAGGAGTTGTTCACTACAATAAAACTAGCACAACTGCTAAGTTTCACGAAGCTGTGTTTCTTAGTTCCAGAGTTATTGAGGTTTAACTGGGTGCTTCACATGGGTGCCTGAGGAAGAGTCGTGAGAAATCCCAGGACATAGTAAAAAGCTGAAATTCATTGTGGTCATTCCTTGATAGCTATCCCAGGGCGCTACAAAGCCGTTTTTTTTTTTTCAATTCCCCCCCCCCCAAAAAAAAATTTTCACGCAACTTTGAATTTGATGTAACCAGTAATGACCAGATTCATCAAAAATTAATTGTTCATTATAAATTAACAGCACCAATTTTCAAAAAAAGGAGCTTGTTACACCCTTGCAAGGTCATTCAGGAACAGAATAAAAAAAACGCCACACAAATCTGATGAACGGTTTTAGAGTTCTTGCTTTCCTCAGCACCACAACTAGCAAAAAAATCCGTTCTGAGAAAACAGGCCGAGAAAGTTCAAAACACGTGTTTTCTTCAAAAAGCTTCAGCACAGTAGCTAGAAGTGTCCTGGCGCACTCTTTTCTTCTTGGCACAGAGACTAAAAATGACCTCATAATGCTTCCATAAAAATTTCAAGATGACATCATGAAAACTTTCTGAGAAACAAATAATTTCATTACTTGACCTCGTGGAGCGGCTGGAGAGTTTAAAAAATGACATAGAAAGTTGGTAAACACTGTGTGCAGAGGTGAATGTATGCTCTAGGGGGCTGCGTTTTCAAAATAATTTTTTTGCAACACTAAAATTTGTAGTTCATGTTTTCTCCACTGATACTTCAATGAGCACATTTGCACTACAAACAAGAAACCCTACCAAAAATTTTTAAAAGGCTAAATTTTAAAAATAAAAACGCAGCCCCCTGAAGCACAGTTCAAGGAGCATTACAAAAAAAAAACAGAATCAAAATCTGTCAAGTAGTTGCGAAGATATCTGCTCCACGAGCTGAGCAACATGCCAAAAAAACAGTATTGAGAAAACGAGGTTCAAAGTCTTGAGTCACGGTTTACGCGCCTAATAGGCACCAGGGTTGTAGTCCTTAGTGTCCTTTGCAGTGCGGCGTCGCTTGGCCATCTGACCTTTAGCCTGATGAGCTTTCGCAGCCTTTTTTTTTCCGCATGGCATCTTTTTCGGCTGCTCTACGAAGTGCATGGCGTCCAGGTTGGAGACCAAGAGATGTGCAAAGTTGGGTGTAGGCATGGAGGTTCCCAGCATTATACCTACAGATTGCTTCACTGACAGCAGTTTCTGCGGCTATCAATGAAGCATGCTCTTCTTTGGGCAGAATTGACCAAATAATTGAGTGCAGGCTTTCGGCAGCATTTTGAGTTTTCTTGCCCTGGCATCGCGCAAGAAGCTGTGGGTCCGAAAGTCGCTGGTACACAGGCAGCAGGGCAGCGGCAACGTGTCGTCCCAGGTGGTACTTATGGGGTGGCTGCGGTTCACCTTTAGCTTCTGCAGCCCGGTGTCTACACCAGCTATCAGGACCTGGTGGGCAAAGTTCGTGGTGTTGATCCTGGTCAGTCGAAGTGGTGTGGTAGAATGTAGCCATGACCGCTCGCTGCATATCCTCCACTTCAGCATGCTGCCTAAGGGCTTGGCCATAATAGGCGGTCAGTTGCTTGATCAAATTTTGTGTAAGGCCACCTTTTCCGCCGATAGGTTGGTCTTTCTTGCTCTTTGTGACGATGGCCCGCAGGGCTGTGCCCATCCTCTTTTTAACATGATTGATACAATCTTCTTTCTTCAGGGGTATAAAACCGTAAGTCTGGTCCTGACACAGAGCTAAGAAAGTGCGGCTGTCGCCATCGCAAACGATGGTTGTGTAGCGCAGGTCATTTTTTTTTTTAGTGAGCGCCGAAACAGTATGAGGGCCGCTTCAACTTCCATTTGGCCCGAGTTTGCCTCGGTGTTTTTCTGGCAAACATGTACTTCCTTCCATTCACTGTAGCCGTCGTCGCCTTCTTTGGGGCCCACAGCACATCCATGACAGTAATTGGACAGGACAACACTGTCAAGCACTAATCCAGCGTAGAATTCAATAACCGTGCCCACGCCGATGTGGGACGCGTGGCCGCGTGTCATCCACGTCCCGTCGTACACCACCGTGACATTCTTGGTGGGTGTTCCCTCCATTTGGCTGTACACATTGCGAACGGCTGCAACAGCGTCTCAAAACACACGTGCCGCGGCTGCTGCGCCAGCAGGCCGAAATTCCCTTTTGAGATGCCTTTGAAAAGTCTTGTGGTGAATTCCCCTATGTGATACATTCATCACAGACCAAAAATCACTGAACGCAGCTGATCCCTTTCCAATAGTTTTTATAGCTTGCATGGCCCGAATATTTACTTCAAATGACTTGCTGTTTTTCATTCGCGGCGACGACTACGCATTTTTCGCGTCCGCGTCGCAAGCAGTGCAGGTGAGCACCATCTTTACCGCTAACCCGTGCTTAGTTCCGTGGTTCATCTTGAGTCCCGGCTCTTTGCACTGCGGGCACAGGGCACTGCCAAACAGACCATTCAGGGCCGCGCATTGCACGAGGAAAAACTCATCTTCGTCTTCCGTTTCAATGTCGCTCTCGTCCCCTTGGTCCATCAGTGACATCTTGCGCTCCGTCGCAGACACTGCTCTTAGGGACTCCTGAACAGCCGCAGCGCGTTCGCGAGAGGCCTCCCCTGACACGAAACGAGGCTCTAATCGGGCCCGAATCGTGCTACTGGTGGTGCTGGTAGACGGCCTCGCATCCTCGCGCGAAGTACTTGGCTGAGCATCCGCGATGTCTACATCCTCGCGCGAAGTGCTAGGCTTAGCATCCGCGGCGTCTACATCCTCGCGCGAAGTGCTTGGCTGGGCATCCACGATGAATACATCCTCGCGCGAAGTGCTAGGCTTAGCATCCGCGATGTCTGCAGCCTGTGCGGAACGACGAACGGATGTTTCCTCAGACAGCACAAAGTACTGCTCCACAGGCATATGAACAGTTTCGTCGATGCTCGCGGAAGATGCTCTGTGCGTGCTTGTGCTCGGCTGCGAGTCCTCGTCGTGCCGCACACCATCGTCGCTGCTCGCAGAAGTTGCCGGACTGAATTTCTTTTTCACGATCGGCGGCTTCGGCTGACGAGCACCAAATCGCTGCGCAGTCTTGCGCTTCTTCTTGAACGATCGCCAGTCCATGATCGCATGCGGGAACCGATCTCAAAACTGCAATGCGCCAAACTGGATAACAACGTTTTTCTCCTTTCACGAGCCCCGGTCTTATCGCAGCGCGATGCGATCTCGAAACCACGCCGCGACGAGTTGAAAACAAATGCAGTAAGCGGCCTGTCAGCGCGTAGAGCAGACGACATTTGCGCCGATTGCTACAAGCGACCGCACGAAACCACACCGCGACGAGTTGAAAACAAATGCAGTAAGCGGCCCATCAGCACTGTCAGCACGTAGAGCAGACGACATTTGCACCGATTGCAACAAGCGACCGCACGGGCGACCAATGCGGAGCCGCCGTACAGTCACGTGACGCGCGTCGCCAATTGGAAACTGTTGTGATACCTTTACACTTTGGCTTGCTATGGGCTTGCTCTTGCCTGGTTCAGCCGGCCGAGGCGGCAAATTTGAAACGGAAGAATCGCGCTATCCA